TGTTTTTCATTAGATATCATGACTGTTTGTCAATACAAACCAACAAACCACAGCAAGTAAGAAAGTGACACTCGATACTAACCCACATTAGCCTTAGGATCGCAACCCCATTATTCGGATCAGACCTTTACTTTACAGAACCAACCAGATTCTTTAAAATATATGGTTGTAGTTTTTCCTCTCTGAAACAATGTTAATAGCTTCCTTTAAAGTAACGCCATGGAATTTAGATTAACAGTTCTTTTCATCACCCCCATGCAATCGGTACAGCAGTATCAAGCATCATTATTTATGCTAATTGCATAAGTTAATATCATGTGACTCTAAACGCTCTTTAATTAAGATAATTTCATAAAATTTAGTAAATTTGGGCTAAAAAGTTTGTAATTACTAATCAATAATAACCATCGACCCGTATGATTCTTTTGAAAACTAGAAAAGCTAGAAACTGCTAATCTAGTTTGCATGGCCTAACCAATACTTATGTATCTGTACGTTATTTTACCTTATAGTTTTGCTGCTTTAAATCAGCCGTCTTTAATGTGAATGACAAAGAACTAAAAACGGTCCACTTTTACTCTTAGATGATGCTGTAGTAAAAATGTTAGACCGATAGCTCATGGGACATTTTGCGTTGGCATGCTTGAAAATTTTCGTCAAATTTGAGCGTTTTTTGATGAATAATTGTGCACTTGTGGCTTGTACTTACATCAAATGAGACTCCTTAAGTTGAAAAGATCTATCAGTGTACAAATTTGAAAAGAAATCCATAAAGTTAGGTACGTGTTTCTTATCAAATAAAGTTTCCGTGCATTTGGAGATGTTATATTTCAGATATTTCTTGATGGATTGCCTTGAAATTTGGTATGTAATGATTTGAGTGTAATAAACGGTAGGTATCAATGTACGTACAGGTACTCTGACGTAACTACAATAGCTACAGCTGTGAATGAGTTATCGTCAGAAAGATCATTTCTATTACATTTGTCATCAAAAATCAAACTTTAAAAACATAATTTTGCACAGTTCAGTTGCAGTACCAGTTTCTAATTGTTGTGGCATAGGCTTAGCTTTCTCACTCATGGGATGGATGTAATTTTCTAATTTAATTAATAAATTATAAAGGTTAAATAAGTTGATTCTGTACGAAACTTATAAGTAAAAAATAAAAATATTATATGGAAGTATTAGATAATGTTTAACATTTGATAAACATAGGAAATTTTACATTAAAAATCGAACCAATTATTTGTAGTTGAGAGTTTTGCAACAAATTGTAAATGTTCTTCTCATTATTTGAAATAAACGTTAAACTTTCACCATTCACTTGATTCAGGCCCCTCATGTTACGTGTTTTGTCTTCACAATATGATGAGGTTTAAACGTAGCCAACAACTTTATTCATAGAACCATTTTAAACATTTCATTCATGTTATGATATATTGTAATAAAACTCATGCTTCATAATCACAAACACACACACTCAAACATAATATTAATTAATTCTAAAACTTGTTACTGTTAAAATATGATTTGATGCACTGTGCAGCTAAGCCTAACAATATACTTAAAGACCTATTTCGTGCAACTTATTATTGCGATATTATCAGTTCTTTGTTGTTAATGCACATGTTTTATTTAACGGGTATATATTAGCAAAAAACTGTATAACTACATTGTAATTAGCATAAGTTTTTGCTCTTTACTAATTTAAAATGTTGCTTTTAGTACGATATGTTTTGTATGATAAAAAGTCAGTAATAAATGTATGATCATTGACTTCAATTGCTCGAATTCATTACTATGACGTCACAGTAATTCTTACAGTTATAAGTGAATATTAAGTTTTTATTTCTGCCTGAGCTAGAAAAATATTGTAAATAAAAATGTGAATTTCAGGAAATTTGTCAATGGATTATAAATGATTATTTAATCAATGTTTTGTTAAGTGGCTTACAGTGGAAGAACTATTTTCTCTGTTTGTGTGTCCGTTATTTCTCTACAAAATTTTAACTAGTAATGTAGTGGCAATTTGAACTTTAAAAACGTAGAAGAAAAATAGTATTATTTTTGTTGTAGCTTATGTTGTGTCGTTATATATATATATATATATATATCCATGTTTGTATAGTGAAATAAACCACACTCTAATTTATGTTGTGAAGTATATAATATTGCCTGTTTCGTAATATTATCTATATAAATTGTATATGAACACAACTCTATATATATTTTGGCAACTTCAGTATAAGTCGTCTTCTTTTTTCATGCGTTGTTTACTTAAAACCATGTGACTTACATTTTGTTTGATTTTAGTCAATGACTTGATAAACGCTACAGCCTAATGCAAATGCTCGACTGTCGCTGATGGTCATTACTCCTTACAACGTTTCGGGCTCGGCATGGCCAGGTGGTTAGGGGGCTCGACTCGCAATCTGTGGGTCGCGGGTTCGAATCCCCGTCACACCAAACATGCTCGCCCTTTCAGCCGTGGGGGCGTTATAATGTGATGGTCAATCCCAGTATTCGTTGGTAAAAGAGTAGCCCAAGAGATGGCGGTGGGTGGTGATGACTAGCTGCCTTCCCTCTAGTCTTACACTGCTAAATTATGGACGGCTATCACAGATAGCCCTCGTGTAGCTTTGCGCGAAATTCAAAACAAACAAATACAACGTTTCGTAGAAAGCTTCCAAACAAGCATAAGACTTTCTGGGTTTACAGTAATCAAGA